AATCCATATTTACCATTCATGCAAAACTTAAAGATTTCCCAAGCACTCTGGAAAACAACTCGCCAACAGACTTATGGGCTGTCAGTGACGGAGAATTACTCACCTGAAGCAAAAAGTCACAAAGCAAAGATTGGCTCTAAATTAGCTCACTTTCTTCTCTACCAAAACTAGTTTTGATAGTTTTTATCACCTTGTAAGTTTGTGTCGCTTTTTTCATAGAGATTGTTAATCTTTTGTCTGTCAGCTAAGCAACAAATATTTTGTCTACTCTATTGATTTGTCTGGGGACTCTTCCACCGTTCAAAATAGTTACTTTTTAACTCATTCATAGAAAAATATGCTTTCCTTTATACACTATAAAGAACCAACTTCATTTAGAAAAAAGTTGCCTCTACCCAAAATATTGTATAAATATACAAAATGCAATTCTAATGCTTTCTAGGCTTATTTCCATTTAAACGTAGCATTTACAATGTCTTATGATGCTCACCCTTGCTTCGAACTAATCCCCAGTCTCCGGTTCTATATATGCAACACTCCTTGTTTATTCCCCAGGGTGGAGTATGCATTCTTCCCAGTCTCCTTGCTCATGGTACTCCTGAAGCTATGGTGGACTTCTGCCTCACTCGCACTAACTTGCTGTCCTTTACTTCTCTGTCATCACTGGGAGACAGAGCTTCTGCTTGCAAAATGCACCCTGCATCATACTTTTTTCCTTCATTTTTACTAATGTAAACTTAATTCAGGCTTACACTGACTCTGAATTGGAATATTTATTACAAAACTATTTTCTAACTTCCATGCTGAACCAAATCAGGCTTTTATTTTCCCAGTCAAAATTCATTGTTTCGCATTTAATGTCGCTTAGGGAACAGACTACGGGAAGACTGTTGAGGGCCAGGGTTGGTTCAAACGTCTATTTCTTCATTCGCATGTACATTTTAAACATCTACTTTTTGTCAGGCAAGATTCTAAATTCTGTTAATTTAGCACCAAAATTAAACTAAAATCAAGCACGTTCCTATACCCTTGGAATTTACATTTTGGTGGTTATATCTGTTTGAAGCCTGGATCCAGCATTTTTAGATTTATGCTCTTAGACATAAAAGCCTCAATGCTTTATCTGGGAGTAGGGGGCAGATATAGCACTTAACAGGCAAGCTCTGGAAAGAAACAGAAATTAGGTGATTCATCCAGTAAATGTTGGCAGCTTTCGCTCTTATTTTTCACCTGTGCATTTTGTCCTTTGCCTGAAGCTAGCCTTCTTCACCTCCACGCAGCATATTGAGGTTAATTTCTGTTTGGGCCTATACCACCTTCTCTAATTTATTATAGGGCACAGTTACACATTTTAGTGTTTGCTTTCCTTGTTCATTTCGAACATGTGTCATATTTGTATCCTTACTTTAAAAGGAAGCACAACTGGAGACCCTAACAGATTACTAGGATTCTGCGACAATTGAAAGACTGTTGAACATGGAAATAGGTAGATTTATTTTTCTTTTATACTTATGTAACCAATCTCAATCACTATTTTTTCTTCCCCAAATTAGGGAACTTTAAAATGCAAGGAATCTTTGTCCCCATTTACAATTGGCATCTACTGGGCAAGAGCAGAAAACTTCCTATCTGCCCGCACTTTTCTATGGAGGCCTCCCAGGAGCACTCCAAACCTTTGTTCCTGCTCTGGCTGGGGCCTGCCTTCCCAGGTAGGGAACAGCATGGTTCTGATGCAGCTGCTAGGGCCATACTAGCCTGGAAGCACAGAAGACCCTAGAGGCAGCCTAGATAATTTCCAACCTACTACAGAAATCTATGCTACAGCATCTTTATTAGAGCCTTTCGCTCAATCCTTTGTTGAATGCCTTCAGCAACAGAGAACTCAACACTTTATTTTTTCCATATTCAATGGTCTCAAACGGAAAAAAATTCCACCACCCCTGCCCCCAGGCCTTTGTAATATTTAAAGGAAGTTTTGTGTCTCTTTTTTAACTGTCACAATGACACAGTCTCCTGAGCTGGGTTAAGCACAGGCAACCTTTCAGTCATTCCCAGTACACATGTCAGCATTGCCGTTATTCCTCCAAGATTTATAATTATTTAAAACACTCTTCATGTACAGACAAACTAGTGCCAAATATAATAAACCATGACTTTCTCTTTTCCTTTAAGCATTTCAGGGTTGACATAGTCCTAAATGCCATCTTCACCCTGCCTGGCTGGCTCTTATTAAAGCTTTGCCTCCTTCAGGACACTTCCTGTCACTGATACTCCAAAACCTTACCTGAGGAGTGCTGACATGTAGAGAAAACAGGTGCACAGGAAGCCCTAGGTGAAATTATATCTGTTCTTAAGATTGAGCATAGTGCTGTGTGGCTGACTGCATTGAAACTAATCAAAATTGATCCACCAACAAAACATCCTTGAGGCCCAGAGTCAAAGAAGAGTTTAAAGCTTATAATTAGACAGTTCCACAATCATTCAAATAAAATTGCTGTCACTGTATTTCTTGTGAATATGGACATTTTATGACTATATTATTGTTATACCACTTGAAATATAAATATCTGTCATCCAGGAGAGTTATAAAATCGCAATATATATATATATATATATATATATATGGCATTTTCTTAGGAAATGTTGGCTTTCTTAATTTGAGTCTTGAATATTTGCTCTTTACAAATGGATTCCATTCAGTTGAAATAAATGTGAAACTTACAGAAATACTGACAAACTCAGGTGTTTTCCTTTTTTAGCAAGGTCTAAAGAGTCCCAGATCACCATATTATAGCCAATGATCAGCATTCATTTTCCTCTAAAAAGAAAATAAATACTTTTGCATGACCACATGTATAATACAGTTTAGAAAACTGAAATAATTAAAGTCTTCATTTTTAATTAACAGGTTTTTTTCAAACATGTTTGAAGAAAAATCAAGAAATATAGTACAAAAAAAATATGTAGTATTCAAGTCATATAACAAAAAAAGCACATAAAAATATGTAGGGTCATGTTTGTGTTTATTGTCTTTTTTAAGGGTTATAGATATTACAGCAGTAAAAAGACATTTCAGGATTTGGTGAGTGATTAGAAACAAGAATATGTAAAACAATTAAAATTCTTGAATTTTGAAATTCCTCTTTAATGAGAAATAGAAGTATAAAATAATAACAATAGTAGTTACGATGTTTACAAAGGCATTGAAATTTTCAATATTCCTGTGTCTCTGCTTGAAGCTCATAAAATTTAAATGATATAGTCACAATTTGTTTCTTAACTATTTTATATGCAGTAATTTTTAATGAAGCAACTAAATTAGGCATAACTTACTGCAGCTTTAATGTAGTTATGATGAATATATTTTACTTGATTAAAAATGATAAAACCAGAAGCCTTCAATATTATCTTAAAAGAATAACTACTGTGTCAATTACAGGTCTTGGAGAAAGGTATTTATAAGGGAATAGCTATTCTGAATAGTAACTTCCTTTTGTTCATTTCATTTAGTTAATGACTCAATCAACTTACTTTTCCACAAAAAATTTTTACAAAGGAAAGGCATACAGAAGCACTCTACCAATTTAACACTGGTGAAGTCTCAGGAACTGATCCGTTTTTTATTAAGGGGGCAACTACTTGGCAGTGTACCCTGATCCCACTGACTAAACAACTAATTCTACAGTATATTTTGTGTTACATAAAATAACATGAATAAATACTGGCAAAAAAGAAAAACATCAAGTTATTTGGGCACCTAAAATGTCAGGAGGCTTTCTTTTCCAATGATGTGCTAATGAGTCCTGTCTCTACACATTCAAACTGAAGAAATCAAGCAAACTTTTGCACCTCCCAGTCCTATGATAACCAATTAACCCAACTATTAAAGACGTCCCTAACTACAGAGAAGAAGCAGAGGTACTACATCTATAGTGTGCTTGTTTTGTCCACAAAGATTGAAATTTTCAGTGGAACAATTTTGACACTTCGTTTGGTTTTTATCAGAATGCAAGTAAATCCTCAGAGATGACAAACTTCATCTAAGGAGTACAAGAAACTTGACTTTTCTTTTATTGCCGAGCTCTAAGATAGGTGTCTTTGGAGGGAAACTAGTCAAGTTTCTTTCTCTTTAAAGCCTTTCACTTTCACCAGCTAAGCAGAACCACACCATCTTGCCTCATAGTCCAGGCTCTGGTGGAGTGTCTGTCCTCAAGGCCAAATTCGGATGGTTTAAATCCTGCAACCCAGAGCCAGAGGATACTATAAAAGTTCACTGCCTTGACAAAGGAAGGAGAAGAGAGAGAGGGGGAAGGAGAGCTGGAGACTCCCTGCTAGTCAGTCACTCAGCTAATTAGCTAGTGAGAGTTAGATTTAGTTAGCTAGCTAGCTAGTTAGTTAGTTAGTTAGTTAGTTAGTTAGTTAGTTTAGTTAGAGTGAGTTAGTTAGTTAGATAGTTAGTTAGTTAGTTACCTAAAGACCGAAGAGAGGGGAACGTCCGACTACCTGCCTAGACCCGCGTTACAGTAATGCTACAAGTGAGGGGTGTGGTTTTGCATTCTGTCACTAGTACTGAAGCGTCCCGTCTGTCTTTGGAAACCCCTGCTAGAGATGCGGACTTTGCGGGAAAAGGACTGGGCAAAGCGCTGCCATCAATTGCAAACTAACTCTTACGGGACTGCCAAGAGAGGGAAATAAAGTGGGACCCGCCGGTCCCCGCGTCTCTTGCCTCCAAAGGACCGGTGGTCGCCCCTTTCCACGGGGCTGGAGTCGGAACTGAGCGTCACGGGGCCCTAGAACAGCCTGCTCTAATTCCCGGCCTGGGTCCCCGCGGCCGGAGACGCCGGTGTCGCTGGCCCCGCCCCCTGTCCCCGGGCGCGACCCCTCCCCTCTCTGCCGCTCCACGCTCCGCGGGGCGCTGATTGGCCGCGGCGCTGACAGGAGGCGGGGCCGGGAAGTCCGGCCAAACCCGCCCTCCGGTATAAGCCGGGTCTGCGCTCGCGCTCTCCACCTCTCTCCTCTTTCTCTCTCGCTCCCTTCCTCTCTGCCACTGAACAGTGAAAATTCACATTGTGGATCCGCTAACAGGCACAGATGTCATGTGAAAACGCACATGCTCTGCCATCCACGCCGCCTTTCTTTCTTTTCTGTCTCCTTTTTTCCCCTTGATCCTTCTCCGTCTTCTTTGTAACTAACAAAACCACCACCAACTCCTCCTGCTGCGGCTGCCCTTCCTCCTCCTCCTCAGTCCAAGTGATCACAAAAGAAACCTTCGAGCCCGAGGCGGTGGCATTTTTAAAAAGCAAGCACACTGGAGAGAAAGGAAAAACAAAAGCAAAACAAAACCCAGGCACCAGCCAGCCAGGACATTTTTGCACCTTTCCTGAAAACAAACAAACAAACAACAAACAGCCATCAAAACAGTCACCAGCAACAACATCCAAACTGTTAGCTAGCCGCGGCGGCCACCGTCACCCCGTGGCCGGGGCGGCTTCCTGAAGGGATGGTCCTCTCCCGGGAGCAGCTCTTTGCAGACCACCTTGCCTGGTGCTGAGCGGGATTTTGGGGCTCTCTGGGGTTCCGGCTGGGAGCAGCTTCATGACTACACGGAGCAGGACAGCGGCCACACCATGCGAGGTAAGAGAGCCGCGCAGGGTCCCGGGGCCAGCCAACTCACGATGGGAGCTGGGGGAAGGGAAAGCACTTAGCACGAGGGGAAAGAGGATGGCGATGCGCAGCTCCCCGAGTTCGGTTCGCAGGTGGGGCTGCAAATGGCCTGGGAGTAGAAAGTTGTGGGAAGGCATGATGCCTCCGGGGACTTGAGCAGGACGCCGGAGGGCGCTTTTTGGAGAGGCGAACGGAGCTAGTTTCTTCCCCTAGTTCTTGGTTTGCTCTGAGTCTTTTCTGCGCGCGTCTCTCTCGGGTGCAGCAGAGGACACCCGGATGGGAGAGGACAGCGAGAGGGACGGCTTTGGGCAGAGGCAGCTGGAAACGCCGGTCACGCAGTGGTCGTGGTCCACGAGTGAGCGTGCAGGGCGCAGGGAATATCACTCCCCGGCACACGTACTTGCCAGGTTGCTAGACCCGCCAGCATCCCAGCCAGTATGCGCGTCCCCTCCTAGGAATCAGGGAAGTGTCGGGGGAACCGGACCAGATACTGGAGCCGAGACCTTCCCTGGGCTTTCCTTGCTCCAATGTCCCCTTTACTCTGGCCAGGCCCATCGCCAAAAAAGTTGCTAGGAGAAAGTTCTGGAGACTAAAGGCCTCGCAATCCGTGGCCGAGAAACCAGGGCCTTGAGTTCTTTTATGAGATAAAGGACCTCAGTGGGAGCCAGTGCTCATCTGGGCAAGACCCCTGACACCCGAGGAGGTAGCAGAACCCTAGGACCAACCGGACTCTACGAGGTGGCCCGGGAGAGGGACAAAGGCGAGTCACCTGCTCTGACTACACTCTAGGTTACCTGAACAACTCGCCAGGGAACATTAAGGAGTTAATTTGTAGATACTGAGCTCTGTCTGGGCCCCCTCTTTGTCACGCTGTCCAGTTGGACACAACTTCCTTTTAAAGAGGCCACTGGGTCCCTTCCTGATTTGGGGGTCTGAGTACCTAGCCCCCCGCCCCATCCGAGTGTCTCTTCCAGGACACATTACGGTTCTTTGGAAGCTATTCTGTCAGGTTCACAACTCCCTTCGGATTCTGAAAACAGAAATGGGCAACTGTCAGTTCCGGACCTTCCAATACCCTAGACAGGAGTGAGGTGCTCTGGGCCAGAAGCATTTAGAATAGGGTCTCAAAAACCAACCTTCATGCACCCAGCTGAGGCCTCGCACCCACTGCTCCTACACCTCTCAAGGAGGAGTGGGCATGACCCTCACCTGGGCCGAACAGGGGAGCCCTGGGCCTGGCCTAGCCTCAGAGGCATACACAAGCTGTGGTTATCAGCTTGGACCTTAAGCATGTGGCAGGGCGGGGAAGGAGGAAGGGGGATGCCGAGAAGCTTTCCACTGTCCACGGGATGAGGGCACTAAATAAGGGACAAGGACACCCTGGTTGACCAGCGCACTGGAAGTGGGGGCCCTCTCTGTGCACTGACCCCAGCTAGTTGTCCGGGTCGCGACTTGATCACATGCTCCACTATTCAAATTCTTTCAAGAGCACGTTCTACAAAAATTGGCAGCGAGGAGAGCATCTTTACTTAGTGAGAGAAACCTGTCTTTGTTTTTCTTTTCCTGCCCCATCTCTTCATCCCCCTCACTTTCCTTTCGGTTTCCGTTGCTCAAATCTGAACCTGCTTGTGAGACATTCGGTTTTTTCGCCTTTTCTCCCTACCAACAATTCCCTGGTCCCCACCGGTAGATTCAAGCTACCTGGCCGTCCCAAACCGCGTTCCACCTCAGTTGGTACCCCCTCCCCCGCACTAAGTCCTGGAGCTCGGAGCTGCACACCTCTTCTTACGCTGTGGAATGAAGAGAAGCGCGCAGCCAGAGCGCATCTCACCTAGTCCGCAGCTCCTCCTGACAGGGCTCACTGCTGCGATCCTGTGGGGACAGGCTGCTTGAAGGACTGAAAGCAAGGGCCAGTCCTCCTTGTGCTCACCTAGGAAATCCAGCATGAACTTTTGTCCCAGGGGGCACCAGACTCACCAAGCTTGGGACAGTTTACCGGGTCTAGCCTGGCGTAACTCTCCAGAGGCAGCCTGGAGGGAACCTGCTAGAGAAATAGTAAGCCCGCAGGCAAGACTCTTAGCCCTGGGTGCCTCTCCTCTCCAGACTTCTTATTGTCTCTCATCCGCTGTCTCTTCGCACTTCCTACAGACGACTTTTTGCCGCATCCCATCCTCAGGAGCTGCTATTTATTAAAGATGGAATGAAAGGTGGAAGTTCGATCCCCAGTATTTCCATTAGGAGGGGAGTGTGGAATGAGAAAAGATTCAAGCTATTTAGAAGTCTTGTAGAAGTTGGGAGGGGAGGTTGAACTTGAGTGCGAATTTAAGAGGTGAGTGAGGAAACACATATCTTTCCCTTGTGCATCCCGCCACACAGACTCTGAGGCAGCCTTTAATCTGGAAAGAGCTGCTAGTGTTAATCCAGGCTTTGGTGGTGAACTCTCCATCTACCACAAACCCCTGTCCTGCTCCACCACACAGGCTCTCCATCTCCAGGTGGTCCTATCAGAGTTTTGGCTCAGCCTCCTGCCTCTGGCAAAGGCAACTGTCCTGAGTCAGGTCAGATACAAACATGGTCTAGGATTGAGTTATCTCCCTGGGGACCAATCCAGCAGTCTATGCCAGGTCACTCCATCCAGCCCCCCTCCTCCACTAGGAGTATTTAAGAGACCTTATTTCTGGGCGCTCTGGGGTAAGAAAGGGGTTAAGAGGCTCTGATTCTTGAGCTCATTGTCCTGCCCCAGGATTAAACTGTCCTGGCACAAGCTCCAGCCACAGTTAACTGAGGTAGAGGAGGCTGTGCTTGTCAAACATAAAGCTTTTCATCCTTTGTCTGTGCAAGGGCACCAAAAGAGCTCTAGAAATGCTTCTTTTCTTGATTCTTGAAAGAAAACTTCTGATGAGAGGAAAAGAAGGGCAGACTGAGTCCATCCATAGGTAGGAAAGAAGTGACCCAGCCATGCTGGTTTCCAAGGCTCCCTCCTATGTAATTTGTCAGTTGCTTATTACACAGGTTACACAGGGCACTGAAAAGATGGGTTCTTCACATCTGCCTTTGCAGAAAACCCTTCTTTCCCAAACGGGCTCAGATGCCATCCTGATTAATATGTCACTACAGCTTGGAAGGATTAGAACCCAGGTTTTGTGCTTGCTGTAAACAAGAAGGGGCTTTTCTTAAGTCCAGTTTCTATTATTTGCAAGTAAGAAATTTCTATTTCCTGATAAACTTTATTTTTAAAGTAAGAATTAAAAGATAGCTTCCTCTTTGAAATATGACCACCTTTGAAAACACAGAGATCTGAACATTTTTTAGATTTTTTTAAAAAGGAAGTTATTGCTCTTAATTTCCTCTACGTAGTCCAACTAAATAACTTCATTTAAGTATTTCTAAATTAACATTCCACCTCTCACAATTTAAAACATTGCTGGAAGGACATCTCTGTCAGCACTCCATCAATAACTGACCATTAAGTAATCGTCAATAAACTGTCTTTATTTTAAGAAAATCAATCATTTGACAGTTTAAAGAAAAATCCTAAAACTACATTTCAAGTATTGTTGAAAAATCTATAGCCAAAAAATAAAATAGTTTCCTAAATGGTTAAACCATTCCCACCCATTTTGTGCCTCCCTAGACATACCTGCTTAATTTTTTACAACCTATTGGAACACAGAAATGCTGGACATCCTGATGCCATAGGTTAGACATTAGTTCTCCATAGCTTTTATGTTTTCAGAAAATTAAGAAATGTAAAAGTATAAATTTTGAACATCGAGCTTCATAAATGAGGGCCATAAAACTAAACTCCTTTGTTTGCATCTGCCTGAAACTTACATTTTCCACTAATGACAATATAACTTCTGATCATTACAGAATCCTCTAAAGATGATTTCTTCTATCACTATCAAAATGGTTCTGTGATAGTTTAACATTAAAAATTATTTTGTTTTAATCAGAAATAAATATTAATATTTGCTTATTTTGATAATGTGTCATATATTGAGTTAGTTAAAAGTCTTAAAAACTACATAAGTGTGAATTTAAGTTTTTCCAAGTCACAAAATCTAATTTTAGAGCAAAAAATATATAATGACACCAAGAAATTATAGAAAACATAGAGTTGGTCTTCATGGGATTCAAGCCTTGTAAAAATGGCTACTTTTCCCCTAAAACTAACACACAAAATTGCCAGTAAGATTTTTAAAAGATTTAGTACACGTAGTTTTTCTACATAAAATAACAAGGAAAATTTTAAGCTGTGACTTCACATTTTATAAACTTGTTTGCCTTTTAGGAATATAAGATGGCCTGTATAGCTTTTGTATTTTACTACAATAGTTCTAAGAAGTACAAATGTGACTCACAGCACAGTAACTGATTTTGCTATTTTCATCAATAATATATCTCTAATTTAAAGTGAACATTGCAATTTCTGATTAATTAGGACTTTTAAATTATTTTAGTAAGTCTCAAAATTTGATTCACATGAATCTGCTGGGATTGTGAACAGTGACATCAGTACCACTGTGCAATGGCGAATCCATGATTTATAGTCAAACACAGTAAAAAAAAAAAAAAAAAGAGTTGGAATACAGACATGAAGACTGTCAAGTTCTGCCAAATTAAAGCAAATTAAAGGAGTATGTTTGTTATGTGTGCAAAGCTATTAATAATCTGAAGTAATATAAACTAACATTCTATCATTCCAGTAGTATAAAAAGAAATCCTTAATACTGAACCATCCCTATGTTTATTCCAGAAAGTAATAGTTTTTAATCATATTGGCATTAAGTGATAGTAACAGAACATATTATCTTGATATTAAAATATACAGAAAAGTAGATATTAGAAGAAGAAATTGTGTTTTAAAATTCAATGTCTCTCATTCTATATGGAATTTTGCTCCCCACACACTCTTCTCTAAAGGACAGAAATTAAGCAGATGAATGACATATGTCTTTTATGATGAA